GCAATCTGAAGTAGAAAGACTTGATAGCAATGCAGTAGTTTATGGATTATATCAAATCCAAAAGCCAGATGTCAATCGATTAATACCTATAAAGGATGATATACTTAACTGTGTAGCTGAACGAGTAATAGAGTATTTTAATTAAGCCAAAAGAGGACATGGACTCACAAAAATTCGTCAGCAAAAAATAAATGATTGGAAGAAAAAAATGCGCATTCCAGGTGCTTAAGTATATAATGTAGCAGAGTTAGAAAAAATTTTCAAGCGACCAATTATATTACTTGGTATTACTCATGGTACTATCTTTAATAGCAAAAAATACCGATCAGGTAAGTATGAAGAAATAGAGATGGTAGTTCATAATGTCTATGCATTTTTAAGAAACCAGCATTTTTCAAGAGATCGAATGGTTGAATATTATAAAGGAGATACTTGGGAAGCTATCAATAATGCCCTTCAAGGTTCTCAAGCAATCTGGCTTATGGGAGTGGAAGATGAAACCCAAAAAATATCCCAATTTGTTTTAGAAGATGGTTGCACATTTAGAACATGGAAAAAACATATAGAAATTATAGAAGCATGCAAACAATTGGTTAATGATACAATAAACTGGCAATATCAAAAGAACATAATTAATGAAGAAAAAAGATTGATTCTTTTAGAGTCTCTCAAAGTAGTTGATTTAGCAGAACAGGTATTTGGTGCAAATCACGCTGTAAGTTGATTGGCCAATAAGATTAATGAGTGGTATCCAATGTCTGAAAAAATAAATGATGATATAAAATGAGCCTGTGTTGAATATGAGCATGATGGATGCTGGAACGTACCCAATTATCATATTAATGATATCATATGTATTGATATGAAAGAATGCTATCCAGCAAGTATGCGAGGCCAAGGAGAATGTGCACCATTGTTTAATTGATTTGGGAATCCAACATATCATCTTGTCTGAGTTGCAATAAATGGAAAATTGCTCCAAGATGATATTACTAGATTTGCACAAGTAAATTTCTTTAAGTTTACTTCTAACATACATCCAGTAATCCCAGTTTGGAAAACATTTTGCATGTTATAGTAGAGAAGGATGCATAAAAAATAAGAATGGGCTCTAATAGTATTGTTACAATATCTTCTTGAAACCGGTATTCTAGAAGACTTAACTATTGGGGAGGCAATTATCTCTCTTACACAGCATACTAAAGTATGGTTACCAAAAATTGAAATATTAGTTGTGCAATTATAGGTAAGTTTTATACAGGGCGGAAAAAATGAAGAAAAACGACTTACTCATCATCTTGTAATAGATGAAGGTGAACTTGATTTCTTAATAAAAGATTGTACAGATGCTGGAACTTTTGCTAGAAGAGAAAGATGTCTACTCAGATTTATACTTACATATTTTGAGGGTCATCAGCCTTAATACACACATTTGCGAGCTTCAATGTTAGCATATGTGCATATTAATTTGTTAGAGATGCTTTAGAGATTCGATCCTAATGAAGTAGTAAGGATTGCTACAGATTCTATATATATACGAAAAGAGGCATTATATAAGATCAAAAATATACCAGCATTCTTCAACCAAGTTGAGGTAAA